AGTTACTTCACAAATTAAATTAAGAAGTTACTTTTGAATATATGGATAATAAATTTTTTAAAGTATTTTATTTGACCAGAGGAATTTTTAGAGGACGTTGATCTAATGACCTGTGTGACAAGACTTATGTTTCTTATAGAAGAGTTTTTGAGAAAGTTACATTAATTGACATTTGAAAATTGATTTTTAAAAGACATTTGTCTTTCGGAAGAGTTTCCTCTTTTGAAAGAGCAATAAGAGGAAGTCGTGTTATGTCATACTTCTCTAAAAAGTCTTTTAACTAGAATAAACACTTTTATAAAAATAATCAAATAAGTTCAACAAAAAATATATATAAATGGTCTAACAAAATTTTATTTAGGTTTGTGAATATGCAAATTAGAATTACAAGCATCATTTAGTGAAAAGTAAAACTGTGCCAAGAATCTCTGTAGTTTCAGATACCAAGACAAAATGCAGGGGAAAAAAAGCAATCAAAGTCCAACAAAACCAATTTTGAAAATTTTATAACCCAACTATCTCATAAATAATATTCATGGAATACTTCCTAAAATGAACGATGAATAAAAATCTCACCAAAATTCGGCATTGTTCAGATAGATGTTCATTATGAATGAAGCGTTGGATCTTGATCTATTAGGTTGTGTTTAAGAATAATATATTTTGAACTTGCTATCCATGTTTCACGATGATCTAACTATGGAGCATAAAGGTATCAATGTTTATTCAAGACTACGCTAGCTGCCCTGCTTGCATTATTTCTGCTCGGTTCTCTTGGATCTCTTTGTTGTAGAGTGACGTCGGACAAAATAGTGATTATTTTACATGCTAGTTCTAACAGCAAATTCACAGGGAATAATACAAGATTAACACCGAAAAACATAGGGAAAACGTCTTTGAAGTTTAGAGAATTTTATTATATCACGCAATGATCAAAATAAGTCTACAAGCCGAACTTTATAGCTAAAATCCGAATTTTACCAAAAAAGGCAAATTCCAAAAATCACGCGCAAACGAAAATATGGAATAAAATAAGCATTCTTCAAAAAATCTAGCCCAAATCGGGTTAAAAATCATCTCATAACATGCAATCGAAATATTA